TGATCGTTCGTTCTATTATTAAATGACTGGGCTACTTTAGTTTGATGTTTTTTCCCAGTTTGCTTTTAGCCCTTGCATGCCAATTACTCATCTTAATTTACTCTTTCAAATTGGCTGAATCCCTTTTAATGCACTCTGTGTCTTGTGTGTTTGCCTGCTGGTAGTCAATTCTTTGTTGCAAAGGAGAAAAAATTGGTTGATTACAGATTACTGGGTTTTGTTGGTAACTGTACTTGCCATATCTTCATTTACCACTGAAATTTATTAATCTATTTGAATTAGAATTTGAAGATGGTCATCGTGCTGGAGAATAAGTTATTCACAGTTAGTATTTACCTTGCTAATTTGGGCCTGAGAATTATTTCAGTCTAGCCCTCTATATTCTTGATGAATTGTTTAAGCTCTCAGTTTCGGTTATCATATTGGTGGTTTAGTATTATCTCTTCTTGTGACAGGTATTGTTTATGATATCGATAGAACCAGCTCCAATGCTTGAGGACAAAGAGAAATGGTTTGCCTCCTAGCTTTCTCATAATTCAAAGTTTTTCTCTAAAGAGCTTCTGTATGCAGCTCGTTAATCTTGATAAGATAAGAAAAACTAGGCATTGATAATGTTATTCTTTGTGATCAAATGTCCAAGTTTCATCGCTTATTAGAGGTATTAACTTAGTAGCAATTTAGACTTCCCCTGATGCTTGGCAAACTCCATGCTAGTGCTTGTTGCTTTTAGATAGGGATGTGCAGCTAGTATCTGAATGCTACTGGCTGTGATTGACAGAGATCCTTTTGCGATGCCACACGACTATCCACACTTAAATATTTTGTCGATGCAGGTCTCTTGTTTTCCATGACTTTGTAGCAAAGTGCCTTACTAAGGATCCAAGGCTTCGTCCTACTGCAGCTGAGATGCTAAAGGTGCTCTATGGATATTTATGCAGTATTTGTATTTGTTTCCCTTCTCTTTACCTTGCTATTTTCATCTTTGGGTTGATTACTGTATAAAGATTTGAGAACTTGATGACTGCAAGAAGTTGATGCCATTTGACTTACAGTAATTGTTTGAATATGCATTTTTTAGCTCTCTCTCACTAAGTATCATCTAATTTAAACCCCCTGCTTTCTAAAACAAAACAAAGAGGTCACAATCTGGTGTGATAGCTGATTTGCTATTAGAGGCTGCCTGTAGCTGTTGCCTAAGCCTTGTCTGCTCTGCAACTTTGATACTCATCTTCTGGCGCTGTTTGTTTTCCTGTTGAAATTGCTTTAACAATGACTTGGGTACATCAAATTTTTGGGGCTTTGGTGTCCATTTTCATCACTTCATTTTGCAGTTATTACATTATTAACATCTTCAATTTTAACCTCAATATTAGTAAACTGGTGCTCTAGTGAAACTTCTGGAAGCTATGTTGCAGAATGTTGGCTTATCTTTGCTATTGGAAGTAGTGGAAATTCTTTATCTTGGTTTGCTATGAATAGGACCGTTCATATGATCCTAGTTCAGACTAATGCTATTTGATGAAATTAATTTAGGATAAGTTAAAGCAATTATGTTGTATGTGAAATTAGCTCAGTGATGGTCAATGCCAATTAACTTGCCTATCGAAGCAATGAGCATGATTAACTACGAATATAGGTATTGGTGCTGTTAGAATTAAGTAGCAGGTATCGTAATTGTTGCTGCATACATGATACGATTCTCTCAACTCATAGGATTGACCATGCGTAGCACTTACAAGGTTCTTCATGCTTCAAGGCATAATCAACTGCCCTTTTACCTTGTCCTTTCCTTTTTCCTGCAAAAATGAGAGGAATTTCTTGAGAAACGTGGAGAAAATATTGAGAAAAGTTGCAGGGGACTTGTTGCAGGCCACTATTTTACATGTTAATTGCTGATTGATGTGGAATATATACTCAACTCTGAGATTAACTTGGTCTTACCCATTTTTGCTTTCAACAGCACAAATTTATTGAAAGATGCAAAAGTGGAGCGTCTACAATGCTGCCCAAGATTGAGAAGGCAAGGCAGATCAGGGCATCCATGGCGTTGCAAGCTCAAACTGTTACTCCAGAAACATCTTTACCTGGAGAGACTGTATGCCTGATTTCTTAAATTTGTTATTTCACTAATTGGTTTTGTTATCCTATCCCATTCTTTGTTTTGTTTCAGAAACATATTAATAGGTTTTTCTTTTCTCTGTAACTATGTTTCTTTGAAGCTTTTGAAAATTTCAATATTAAATCCCATATTTGCAGCCTTTGGGTGGTCCAAAATTGAATGAAGACTATGGAGATACTGTCCCATCAAAGCCTCAGAACTTTGCTAATGGGATAGCTTCGGGACCTATAGCTGATAGGATGGAACCAAATATGGAAGGTAATTATGTACAATCTTATTGTTTACCATCTTGCTTGTTGCCTCTTTTTTTACATGCCTCCTCTGATGAACATGACCCTCCCATGTATATAGAATAATTAATGAGAAGATGGACTTGTATATAGGTGAGTTGTTGATTCTGGGGCTGCACTTTGTGAGGATGGGTAGCACGTGTTCTCATTTTTGTCTTGATTCTTTGTCCTGATATATGGAGGTGCTTCAAGTTGGGTGATTTAACTTCATTTATGTGGTGTCTCTTTGACCAGGTGATTTTGGCACTGTCATAGTTCGGGATGGTGAAATGGATATGACAACCATACGTAGTACCTCTCTGACTAATGCAGAAGAACCTTTGCCTGCTTCAGGACAAATTGGAAGTCCATACATCAGTAGCGGCAGAGACAAAGCTATAGAATCCAGGTAATTCTTGAAACCTCCAACAAAGAGGAGGGGGAATAGAGAAATTTCCTGTTTCATTTATTTGAACTTGTTTGCATGCACACAGACAACCCAATCAAGAAAGTTCTTCATTGTCTGGAACTGAATGTTCCTGACGATATTTTCCTGAACTAAATACTTTCTGTGGAGAAAAAAGGACAAAAAGGGGTGAACCTCTGCTTTCTAGAGTCTTTTTTGCCATTTAGGAGTAGCATGAGAATATGTTGACTCTAGTCTACCTTCTTGCAGTTTTGTGCTTGTAGTAATTCAAATGTCTATAAGCTATGGTATCTTATGAACCTGGAAATCAAATCCTAGATATTTAGTTTCTTTACCCAATCTGTGAACTTGGTGGCCAGGGCGGGTGGCACAATGAGAGTCCCTTCCCCCGTTGAAGGATCTATATCTGTTGCACAGCCCTCTCAAGCATTCCCTCTTTCAATCGTTGGCCCTCCTGAGCAGAAGCTTGATGCAAAAAGCAGTGCCCAAGAAGCAACTGTAGTTGCTGCTGCCGGCATGAGCAGCAGTTCATTTATGAGTGAAACTGTAAGCCGGAAGGCATTAGATAAGGTAAATTTTATTCTTCTTGGCTATTATCCATTATTAAATAAACAATTCTTCCTTTTTTTTTTTTTGCCTTAGTCTAGGATTTCAATCTATCCTATGTGAAGTGTTGTACAGATCTGTTTCTACACAAAGTCATCAAGACTTAAAATGCCTCTTAGAACAGGCTTCACTGCGTTTGAGTATTGCACAACTTTTTCTTTGCTACTCCTGCATTCTTTTGTTGGTATGCAACTTCTATGTAGGAACCTGCCTTCTTTGGTTCTAGTTTTGATCCATGAAACGTGTGCTCTTGCTCACTTGGATTTTATTACTGTGGTAGCTGTGGTCAATATATTCAGCTGGCAACACTGTGCCCATTCCATTTCTTAGGGCAACAGATATATCGCCTATTGCTCTTTTATCTGACAATGTACTTGGAGGCCCGAAACTGGATGATAGTGGAAGTATAGCTGTTGAAGCAATTCAGGAGCTTTTCACTAGTGATGCTCAGTCTAAAAAGGGCCGAAATAGACAAACTGAGGTACTCATCTTTTCGTACTCTCTCTCTCTCTCTCTCTCTTTCTGTGCCTTTGGCTTCTATACGGTATTTCACTCTCTCTCTCTCTCTCTGTGCCTTTGGCTTCTATACGGTATTTCACTGCTGTTGCAGGTACCCTTACCTCCCAGTGTGTGCCAGAGACTAACTTCGAGTCCTACTCTGATGAATCTCGCTCAGGCCCTAGCTTACCACAAGATGTATGACTTTCTTTTTTCATTTCTCTGGGTCTGGAAAGGGGCCCCATTTTTGGTTTCTTTAAATATAAACTGGACCTTAACTGGAAGGGGATGCGGGAAATGTTACTGAACCTAATTGCATTGATGGGGTGGGGGAAAATTAAGAATACATATTGACTACTGCCCCCCTTTCTTTTCTTTTCTTTTCTTTTCTTTTCTTTTGATGTCTTCAAGTTGTGCTTCAGGTGTTATGAGGATATGCCACTTCAGGAAATGCAAGCAGCGCAAGAGCAGCAAACCATCCAGAATCTTTCTGATACGCTTAGAACCATTTTGAGATTATAGCTGACAGTAGAAATTCCAATGTCGTGTCCCAACTCTCAGTCTCGCAAAATTTTGTTATGAAATGTTCTTTCTTTCATGTGTTCCCCTGATTTTGCTGGTCTATCGGAGACTCTGTTGTAGAGTTGTAGCTTTACTGCTGCCATGTATATTCAATTAATTTTTTCCGGAATTATTATGTAAATATATTTTAGCGTTTCTGATATCTAATTTCCACAACTCTCTGCAAAAAGATAATGTTAAATAAGTACTACTTATTTTTCTGATTCATATTAGTGTTACATATAATTAACACAGAGAGTTAAAGCGAATAGATATTTAGCAGAAGACAAATTACCCCATTTCCTTCTTCCAAGAAACGGTGCAATTTGTTTAGATGTTCTTCTGGAAGTAAAGCTTAACTGATCATGAAAATAAAAATACATTTTTCAGTTCACTTTTTATATTTTTATTTTACATATATTATATAATAAAAAGAATTATGGTAATTATTCTAAATAAGATTCTATCCAAACAAATAAAATAAAAAAACAAAGGAAAAAAATATTTAAAAACAATGGGTCACAGAAACCCAGAAGGCAGGAGGTTGCGCCTGCAGGTTTGGACTCTCTCTTGTCCGTACTAGAGAATGAATTGCAGAAACTGCAGCAATTTTCCGTGACCTAACCAGAGCTAGGCGGAAATATGAGACGAAAAATCAGTAGCAAAATTTCATCTTTCTTGCTGCATAAATCTCCGAGAGCCCTTTCCTCGGTTCATCATAATTATCATGATCTTGCAGCACGGGCTCCGATAGTCCTTCAAGTTCAACGTCAAGGCCTTCAAAACTTTTACTACAACAAAGTTAAAAAGCGTGAAATTTCTTCAGAACCCACCACTCTTTTCACTTCTATCTCTCGACGATATCTATGTAGCAGTTCCCCTCAAATCATCAAAACCCAGGACCATAGTGAGCCTAGCTCTTCGTATTAAAGATTGTAGCTTTTGATTTTTTTTTTCCGGTGGCTGCTCGTTTGATTTGAGTTTAAGCGTTAGTTCACCATGTGTATGAGATATTGTCTATGTCAAACTTTATGTGCGTGGATTAAACTTAACTGGGTTGAGAAAAGTTTGCTTTGGTATATTTCTTGTTGGGGCAATGCCCATTGCTTTCTATCAGAAGAAAAAGGGAGGACAACGGGAATGTACAGAAAATCAAGAAAGAAGTTTTCTTTTTTGCCTTTGTATATGCCTTGTAGTACTGATTTCATGTAAGAGACTCATTTTAAGTCTTACTGAGTGGAATTTTTTATGTTGTACGTTGCGGTGCCGGCTTCTTAGAATTTAATAGCAATGTAATAATATTTGTTTAAATGGGCAGTAATGGGATCATTTCTTGCATATTGTGGTCACTGTGGCTGCTTTGGTATTGACCTTAAAATTTCTCAGGCTGTATTCCTCTAGTGTAATGGCAGTCCTAGGTTTGAAAGCACGTAACTAACGTGAAGGATCTTCAGCTACATTCTTAAATTTCTGTTGGCTGGAGGATGTGCAAATATTTCACTATTCCCCTGCCTTGTAAAGTTGTCTGGTTTGAAGTTAGCTCAAGTATTGCTTAATCTTGGTTGAATGGCAGATGATGTAGATGAGGTTGAACCAATTGATTTATGGGAAGAAGAAGAGGAGGTTGAGCCTAAGGTCTGTATCACCCTGTTTGAAGTTTGGGTTTTGATTCCCATCCCACAGTAACTTTTAGTTAGTGATGGTTGTTCAAAATTTAGATTGGTGATGGTGGTGATGGAGGTGGAGTGGTTCTTCAAAATTGTCACTGGGGAGAAAAGGCACTTTCCATAGCCCACAAGGTGCTGCTGCAGTTTGGAGATGACATGAAGCTCTTTGCCTTGAAGACCTCACCGCGTGGATACATCTACATCAGACTTGATAAGCTGTCAAATGAGTAAGATTAGCATTGTGCTTGTTACTTTATTCTGGTAACTTTGAAGCCATAGAAGTTTTTTATACGGAAGACTGGAGAAACGCATTTGTAATGTTGAGTTTTTCAATCTTCAGATTTCTGGTATTGATCATGAATAAATAACCTTCCATCCCTCTCCCCTCCCTTAGCATAAGCAATATATATATCATTTTGTTATACTAGTCCTTTTCATTCCAGTATTCTAGTCGTGTACCTTTTGCGATTGCTTTCCTTTTTTTAATTTCTAACTCTAAATGTGGTTGGGTGCAAGAGAAGATAGTCACTCCTTTTTAACAACTAACAGAGGATTAATTACTATAATCTGATTTATTTTATTTTTCCTTTGTGGTCTTGTGGTGTCCATAATTGAATCATTTGGGAAGCACATTCTGGATTATATGAAATCATATGGTGGAAAAGTGTGTGCTGCTTCAATTATATCATTTAAATATAGTTTACCTGCCTAAGCAACTAGTCTGATGTCCTAAATTTGCTCTCAAACTGACTCTGAATCTTCAGATATGGGTGCCCCAGCATCGAGGAGCTTGAATCTTTCAGTAAAGAATACAAGGCAAAGCTAGATGAAGTAGGGGCTACTGGAGAAATCCCAGATGATTTGGCTCTTGATGTAATTACTTACCAACAATGCAACTGATAGTTTAGTTCTTCATCGCCTCGAGTGTTTTTGATATTTTACAAATGGCCACCTGATTGTTGTGGTTATTGTTTTGCATGACACTAATCGGTTCATACACTCGAATTTGCTTAAGTTTCTTTTTTCCTTTTTCCCCCCTTAAGGTTTCCTCACCTGGGGCTGAGCGGCTACTCAAAGTACCAGACGACTTGGATAGGTTCAAAGAGATGCCTATGCGTGTCAGCTATGTTGAAAATTTGGAGGTGGAATGCCCAGAAAAGAATGGAGTTTTCCTGCTAGAATCGATTGAGATGGATTCAGGGTGCTGTATATGGAAGTTGGCTGATGTGAAGGAAAATAGAAACCCTTCAGCTAAAGGCAGGCCAATGAGCCGTAAACAGAAAGATTGGAGATTAAGACTGCCATATGATATGTACAAGCGCATAACCCTATTTCTAGATTACTAAAATACAAGATCATTTGTTGCTTATGCTCAGATTAGGTCTATGGCCCTGTGGTTATCACAATCTGGCGTGTATGAGATCTTGGCGACATTGTCACTGTTTCTGAAAGAGGTATTTTCTGCAGCCTGGTGGAAATTTATCACTGATTTCTACCCCACCAATCAAATGCAGAAACTGAGTTTACAAAGGCGTCGTCTTTGTCTCGTGGCATTATATTTGCTTCAGGTGCTGTTGCTTTTTACATGAGCTACGTTGCATGTCTGTCCATCAGCCAAAACCCAAGTGATAAGATCACTACTCTGCGCAACCGGTCTCGAGCCGATGGTATCCCACTTTCGTGGTGACATAATCGTCTTTCTTTCCAGGACCTGTGTCCGATTACTGTTTCAACTTTCCATTTTTCTTGCAATTGGATTATGCCTCAGCATTATTGGCATGTTTACTATTTAATGTATTATCTTTGTGAATTCTGATGCCCGAAACCAACAACATAACAGCATCTGTGTCTGGTGGACAGTGGACATCTAGCTACCAGCATCAGGATACCAAACGTGAGATTCAGTTCAAACCTATATTTCCTTTTCCTGGTCTCCCAGCTTCATACTGGCTATTACTTTTTGATTTCTTTGAAACCCCACATTATCTTCCAACCCACATCCCTTCATCCATACAAGTTTTCTCCTCTTTTCTCTTCAATCTTATAAAGCTACGTCGGAGAGGTATTTCCCTGTGAACCGTTTCTTTTCCTATATCAACTCCTAGGAAGATTCAAAGGATCCCGTCGGTGATCTAACTCACATTTTGATACTCTTAATTACATTGTCGGAGTTAAACTATGAGGAAAATTGATGTTGCATCCGCATATACTAGGTTGGAATTCGTGATCAAATGAATATCAAAAGTGATGATATTCTTGCTCCTCTTCCCAACTTATAGGGACCACGCACGCGCTCTTATTCTTATCCATCACCAATTCTTTAGTCATCTGACATCTATCAAACTTGGTTTCTCTTTAAATAAGACTGACCATCCATCAGAGTCAGAGAGGAGGAGTACAATGTAGATGGCCCGTTAGATTTATTGAGTTCTGTCTTCTTCTAAGATCTGAAAACCCCATGCAAAATCGAGGAGTTATTAAGAAGAGAAGAATGAAAGATAATTTAATATAGGACCAAGTACTGTATAGCCTTGATCAAAATCCAGTTTTGTCACGCATCTTGGAAACCTACCTACTCTTCTATTAATGCTCAAGGGAACAAAACCAAAACCAAAACAAAAACAAAAACAAAAAATCAACATCAAAGAAAGGTGAAGCTGAAAATATATATATTGGCATGGAAGAAGTCTATATACCCTGCAGATTACGGGTCCCCAAACTAGCTAGCAAGAGATTAATTATATGTCCATTCTTTCTTGTGATACGGACCTCTCTTTTTCCATCATTAATTGACTAAAGCTGGTTAGCTGCACAGCCCTTCGTGTGAAAAGGGTATTCCAACTGTCCCTTAGCTTTAGGGGTCCCTTTCAAGATTAAGGGTCTGCCTACATTTCCCATTTTGACACACACAAGTTTGTTGGACCGCAGCGGAAAACAAAACAAAATGGAATTTCAGACGTACTAAAGATGAAAACCCATGTAAAACTAGCATGGCGAACTCACTGTGTTGGGCCACCAAATTCAGCTCCTTCCATCCATCCCAAAGATAATGTCTTATCTTGCTTCACCCTCAAAACACTTTTCTAGTTTCATCAAATTTGTAGTTGAAATCAGATAGTACTACGAGCGTTTGGAAGAATCAGCACATTTATGGCAATCAATTTGTTGTAGAAAAATGAAGCTAGCATCATTTTCCGAGGTTTAAAAATTGGAGAGGGACATTAGTGATACGTATTCTTCGATAACTACAATGCTCACCAGATGAAGACAACTAAAAAGTGGGATTATTGGTAGAAATGAAGTAGGGGAGAAATTTTGAAAGAAGACAAGATCGTATATCCTATCCTGCCTAATCTCTTGCCGATCGATGTTGGATTGGATAGCTTCATGGTTGAGCTCCAAAAATTAAGGCATGCGTCGTACGAAAATCAGAAAAGACACTTTAATTATGACCATTCAAAAATATCCAGTTTTACTGCATCACAAGTTAAGAGAACAGGAGTAAGAAAGTGCCAATTTAGACAAAAGAACCGAATAGAAAATTGCTTGATAGTTGTCATTTTTCAATATTCTCATGATAATCAGAACCTTTTATTGAATGATGTACAGAAACACACACTTAAGCAATACAGAAACACAGATGCAGAAGACCTGCAATTATCAGTTTTAATAGCACGACAGCATACTGTGGATGATATTAACACAACAAATGAAGATAGAGTGAATTAACTTGTTGATTTCATTTACTGGAGCGTGTCCTGTTTGTACATTATTGGTGGAGGGGTGCAAAGCGGATTAGATGGGAATTGAATTTTTGCAGAGGATTCATTTACCAGTACACTTGCAAAATGACAAGAGAGAGGAGAGGGCGATATAAATATTCAGTAATGAACGTCTTATCAATATGGACCCACAGCATAAATCTGACCCAAACCGAACGAGGAATTTCTTACTGCCTTCCATTTTCTCTTTTGCAATGATCATTTTCAACCAAGAATACAGTTTTAGAGCATATGATTGTGATTGAGCAGTCGCTAGTGTTAATGGTCCAAAACCAAGTCTAGGAACATAACACTGAAAAGAACATTAAGGGCTTGCTCAACTATAATTAAAATATTCAACCTATTTCAGAAGGGATAGCAGACACGTATCTTGCTGATGCGTATTAACTTAGCTGGTAAAGATAAATCAAAATCTCCTAAAAAATCAGGTATTCACAACTCGCTGCTGGTGGTGACCTGAGATTTGTGTGAATCTAAGTAATCTAAGTTGATCACCGGCTTCAAGTTTTGAAGAATTTGTGCCACATTGTTGTAACAAAGATCAGTCAAATAATTGGCCTTTTGAGATCTTGGAGTAGTTGGACAGGATTTGAAACTTGGATGTCTTGAACAAAAACAGAGAGAGTGCAGAGCTATGGGCCTCCTCCTTTTCTTCTTTTTTTGGTTTATAATAATAATTATGACAGTAAGAACCAAGAAGAGAATTGCCACTATAAGTTATCAGCCAAGACAATGGTGATGGCTCGTGCCTCCCCTCAAATGGAGTTAGCAATGTGTTCAAAGAAATGGGCCATCAGCTAATGTCATGGTATGATAAGGGTAATGCTAGAGATTCCCCAAACTGGGGTATGCAAGTCTTGATTTGTCATGATATGGGGTTCTGATTAGTTGGGAACTTTACACATCTTTTACTTTGAGCCTCTCCATTTTGCCTCTGCTGCTGGATGAGGTTTATTGCTTGAGATTCCAAAACTCTTCTGCTCTTGACGTTTTCATCATTGTTCCAAACCCTTTTTTTTTTTTTTGGCCTGGGTGGATGGATGGTGGAGGTCAGCTGAACTGAAGAACTGATGGATTGATATGACATCTTCGCTACAGACTCCAAGATAGGTGACATAAAGTTGGTTTTGTAAGCATATGGGAATAGGTATGGATTGAAATGGCATAATTCACTTTCAAAACAATGGCAGAACATTAGAAGGCAGCAAATTGAGGGAGCAATGATGAAAAAGGAAATTCCACACCTAATCTTTTACAAAGTCTAAGCAGAAAGGGAATTATAAGAATCTTAGTAGTTAAAAAAAAAAATAATTCACTTACAAATTTTATTCTCTTTCTAATGCGACCATCGCCACAAACTCCAAACCACAAATATGAAATAAATAACGTCCATATCTCTCTGTCAATTCTGATTATTCTATTTTTTGGTCCTCTCTCCCTTCCATTACTCTTTTTTTTTTCCTTTCTTTCCTTGTGGATTTTCTCAAGCCAAACACCTACTCATAGGACCTAAGATAAGTTTCAAACTCAATCCTTGATGATTATTTAATAGTTCAAAAGTCAGTACCAACTGAGTGTGTTCCCTTTCTAACGTAACTCTATCGCCACAAACTCCAAACCACAAATGTGAAACAGATAAGAAGGTTTGATATCTCCATCCATTCTCATTATTTCATTTTTTTTTATCTCTATTTTTTGGGGTTTATAAAACTTTTATGACATTTTGAATATTATTAATGGTGCCCGTTAATATAATTGCTCACCTCATGTCATGTGCGCGGTGAAAAGCTAATGTGTTTGAATTGCATTTTTCATGAATTTTTCGTTGGAAAATTACTGTAGCGATTTGATGTATGTGAGGTAAAAATGTGATAGGAAAATGTGTTCACGAAAAACAAGACCATTTTTCAAATGGCTATCCAAACAAGCCAGCTTACCAGAAATTTTTTTTCTAACATTTTATTTATGGGAATTAGTCATGTATCCGTTGATTGATTGATTTATTATTGATTATAGTATATTTAATATATAATTCTTGGAGATTATAATTTTGTTTCATACAGTTCACCTATTTATGGTGCCGATTTTCCTTTTTCTAATTAAATTTTTGTATTTCCTCCAATTAATTTATGTTAAATTTTCTTTTTTTTTTTCTTTGTGGGCTTGGTTTGCTTAAAAGTGTTGAAGGGGATCACATATTTAGTAAAGAATTTAATATGCATCAAAATTTATTAGAGATGGATAATCTTATGATTGACATTCTCTCCAACATAGAACGCGTCAGAATTTAGTTCATCTTCAATGGCAATTTTATCCACGGTGTGGATGTAATTAAGCAGAAAGCATGGCTATGGGAATAAAATATAAAAGAAGTACATCATCTCAGATATATTTTTCTGAAAGAAGATTAGTGTGGCAAAAAAACTCGACCCACTCTATTCAATGCAATCTAAGCGTCAAATTGAATTAGCAATTGCATTGATTGTGACCTAATCCATCTGTTCAATGTCAACTTCAACCATTACTAGCGTATTTATAACTGTTTAATAATTAAGCCAATTCATGGAACTGCCACTACTATGGCATGCCATCTTTTTAAATGTACCCATCAATTGGTAGATTGAAATGTTTCACTGCATTATTTAGTTGCTCAACTTTTTTCACACACCTAATGGCTAATCCTATCTCAACCACTGAGCTTAGCTCAAACCCCCACCTGCAACAACAAAAAAAAAAAAAAAAAAATTTCAAGAGAGGTACCATAACACCCCCTTTGGTCTAGTTATGTCTGCATACCTACTAGCTTTCTTCCGTAGATTATGATAAAATAGGTTATACAACTGTTATCGTTATCGGAAAAATAATAATAATGGCTAATACTATCTCTTGCTAATTCTTTATATCAAGCTTTCCATAGTTCTCTTCCATAATCCTTATGCCCTCAATGGCTATTAAAAAAGAAGTAGAAGAAGCAGCCTGCAGGCAATTCAAAAATTAAGCCCCCTCCCCAATCCAAGAGGAGGAAAAAGAGAAAGAAAAATCAAATATTATCATATAGTTTTTTAAGTTGATCAAGATTCCAAAAGGGCAGAGTCTTGAATGGTCAAAAATAAAACCAAGAATACAATAAAGGGCGACACATATAAAAAATGGTCCATCAACTGGTTTTAGGGGGACATACCCATGAAAATTTACCAAAAGCTAAAGCAACAAGGATGGATACCATATAATGTTTAAAGAAACAAAAAGGAAAGTGCTCACAAAGTAATAAGAAATTTGAGAAAGATAGCTAATGTAAGAAGATGAAGTAAACTAAAGCGAAAAATATCACCACCCCTAGAATAAAGTACTCTGTGAAGCGTGCAAGCCTTTTTTTTTTTGAAGTGTGCAAGCTACTACAACACTTTGTCAAACTTCTATTTGAACATGTATGCCTTCAATACTTAATCTAATAATGATCTGTTTGGATTGTGAATTATTAGAGATATTTTTACTGTAGCACTTTTTGTGATGTGATGTATGTGAGATAAAAAGGTAATTGGGAAGGTAAAAAGGTGTATTGGAAATTGTAATGATGATGTAAGCAAATAAATTTTGAGAAATAAAGCCCAATCCAAACAAAGCTATATGAGAGTAATTTTTTTTGGGGTAAAAAGATGAGATGTAGCCCACTTAACTTCCTTTTACTCCCTACCTAAAACACATTTAAAAAAAAAAAAAAAAACTCTTTTAGCCTTGTTTGAAAAGCCATTTTCCTTGGAAAATTTTTGCGTTTTCCAATTACTTTTACCTCATATATATTAAATCGTCACAGTATATTTTTTTTAAACAAAAACCCCAAAAAATAGCAATTCAAACAAGAGTGCGCTAATAGTATAGTGATTTTTTAACACTAACAGCTGTGACTGTATGCTATATGAGTATAATTTGAATTTCAAATTTGAATTCACATTATGTGGTATGATTTAAACATGAAATTCTACACTGACAATGTAAATTTATACAAAAAATATGGATTAACTTTTCAAATTAATCTTTTATACACTGCAGTGTATACATTATTACTATTGAATGCATGACAAATTATCTGAATTTAAATTTAAAATTCAAATTTTGCTCATGTTTCATGCATCCAACCATAATTGTATACACATTGTCAGTATATATAATATTTACTTTAACTTTTTGAATTAATCTTTCATATACTGTTAGTGTATATACTGATCAGGTTGGATGAATGACATATTATCTGAATTTAAATTTAAATATTAAATTTTATATATGTGATATGCATCTAAACCCATTAATGCATATACTGTCAGCATATAAAAGATTTATCATAAATTTTTTATGTAAATTTGTGCAAAAGAATATGGACTAAATTTTTATGTACTGACAGTGTGTTGACTTTTTATTCATTTACACTATAGTAATTTTTTCCTATGAGTATATGCTATATGTATAGATTTAAATTCATTTACACTACGGTAAATTTTTTATGTGATATGATCTAAACTTACTAAGGTAAACAAAAAATTGTACTTTGACACTATATAAAAAAATTTACTCAAAAAAAATGTATTACTGTATAGAAAATACGGGGAAGAGAATCTAGGGAAACTGAGAGGGTTTATTCTTTTCAATCTTTTTAGTATATATTTTACCTCCTGTCTGACAAAAGGGTCACTGAAAATATTTCTTGCTTCAATCTTTCTCTCTGGTCATTTATCCGTTTACTTTCTAGATTGTAGTATCAGTTTGTGTTTCTCTGTGTGCAGGTAAGTGTTCCGAGAGTGTGTTTTGTCACGATCATTGGATGCACGTGGAAGTCCAGAAGGTAAATTCTTCTATTCTGATTAGAAAATTGATATATTATTTGGTGGTACAAAACAACAAAATGTACATATCAGATTACATTTGCACTGTTTTTAAGCTATAAAATCATAAAAATATATTGCTGTATTTTATGGGCATATATAAACAGAGTGTTGATACCCATCTTCTTCCACCTTCGTCAGTTTCTTCCTTCTCTACCGTCTCTCTCTCTCTCTCTCTCTCTCCTACTTTGTAAGCATCTCCTTTCCTCTCCTTCTCCCTTAATTTAATTGCTTTAGTTTAGTTTCAGCAGAGAAACATAAAATACTTGTGCTTATTTATCATAATAAGCTCACATATCAATATTTGAAGTATTTTTTTTCCTTTTTTCAACTTTATGATCTTTGAAATGGAGTTTGTCAATGTGATGCAATGTGAATTGGGATGGTTTTTTGATCTGGGTTTTGGCTAAAATTGTTTAAAATTGCATATTTCATAATATGCATGTATGAGATTTTCTTGAAGAGGGGTTGATCCATTGTTGATCAACATTGTAGCTTCCAGCAAGAATTTGGTAATTTAACTCGACATGCAGTGTAGTCTAGATGTTGTTGATGCTATCTTTCTTGTGTTTGTCATTCAAGAATTATGAATTGGATTATTGTTGTGAGAATTAGTGCTAATGCCAAAAAATTCCGGCGGTGCTTTTGACTTTATTGTGCGCGAGTGCAAGAATGCTTGCTCGATTGTCATTTTCAGTTGTGATGATCCAAAAGTTTATTTTTTTCTCACTTGGACAGGATATATGCTAAGAAGCATGTTTCTGTTCAATTTTGTGAATGTTGAGTAGGCAGTTGTTGTTGCATGTTTAGTTAGGACTGATCCTGGTTCCTTTTGGGTTCTGTTTATGTATGGGAGATGTCTTGATATTGCATGTTTCATCAGGACTGATCTTAGTTCCTGTTGTTTTTGTTTATGCAGAGGGGCTGTGTTTCATTTTGTTGTCAGAAGCATGGCACTTTGTGGGGCTAAAAAGGATGGAAGAGAACTGAAAATTTACGAAAATACAGATGAACTAAGTACTGATCTGGCAGACTATATTGCAGAATTATCAGAGAATTCTGTGAAAGAACGTGGAGTGTTTGCCATTGCTTTATCTGGTGGCTCCCTAATTAGTCTGATATGGTATAGATATTGTATATTCCTATTCTGTGTATTTGTTTTTCTTCCCTTCCTTTACATGATTTAACTGTTTTGGCAGTAAACTATGTGAGGCTCCTTATAACAAGACTGTTGATTGGGCCAAGTGGTATATATTTTGGGCTGATGAACGCGTGGTGGCAAAGAGTCATGCTGATAGCAATTATAAGCTGGCAAAGGATGGCATTCTGTCCAAGGTAAGCTCTGAGCAAAGTATGAAAATCTGCATGTGATTGTCCATTAAATTAGTAACCTTCTAAGGCTTATGCACGAGAATGTTCTTCTCTGCCTCTGAATGATGCATACAAAGTATGATCTCCTTTACCGCAAACTTTCTGATTTTGCTTGTAACTGGAAATAATTAAAGTGGATAAGATCACAGAGTCATATTTTGTTTTCTTTAGTTGAATATCTGTTGGCTAACATTTGATGACAAAAATATTCTTTTAGCTAAAATATCTGGTGGCTAAGAGTTTTGTTGACTGCTTATTTAGGGAACAGAGTGCTTCCCTGTTAGCGGCAATAATTGCCTTTTATTACGTTTTGCCATAAAAGCTGCCAAGTGGCAAAGATGAACGTCATTGAATTGTCGATACAGTATGTATTTATCATGCTTGTGCATCACCAATTATTGATTTACAACACGTTCGTAAATGGTTATGAAAAGTTTCGACTCTATGTCGCATGACAAATTTGGTCCCTTTGTGTTATGGTGAAGCTTGATGTACGAAAATTGGGTACATCAAATTGGGGACCTGACAGCTGTTAATGGAAAGGAGTATGTGTATATATTAAGGTTATCTAACTACCTTGGTTTTCACATATGCAGGAGGGCTGTGTAAATTTTCCTTCGGCTTATTGTGAAAAGGATGATAGGCTCCTTTTTTGTAATGGTAGTTCCATGGCATTATCCTAGGCTTCTACGGAAGGGGAATACATTCCGACCATGATGTATTTCCCATAAATAAGTTAAATTTATGTTAGATTTATTTCACAAAGTGCTCCTGGTTCTTCTGTTTTAGAGATATCTTCACTCCAAATATGCCTTAATATTTGTCATTGGGAGGAAAACCAATCTAATTTAATGTCATCACTTGCTTTGTGGTCAATTTGTTGTTAGACAATTTTGCGCTTGACTAGCTTTTAGTGACACACGTTTGATGCAGATAGAAATGTGAAGAGAGAGAAGAACTAGGTAATGAATGGGATTCCTCGTTATCATTGTCTAACACAGTGATGCTTATTAATGGAAGCTGCAAAACAACGTAAGCGGACCTTTTAACTTCTCAGGGGAGGGTAGACCAGTAGTTTGAATGACAAATCCCCTTTCCATATTCATGGCATGGGTTCTGTAGTATCAAGAACCTTCATGATTTTATCAATTGTGTTCTATACTGTGTACTACATTAATTACCACATATGGAGAGACCAGGTTGTCACTGCTCTAGTTTGTGAAGTTGTATAATCATGAGAGATCTAAGTGGCGTTCAGAGAACAGGATATAAAGAGAGTTCATCAGAATTAAAAGTACTATGACTGATTTTATAAGGTATTAAGTGCACTGATTATGCTTTGGCTTTTCAGGGTTAATATGATCTACGACTTTTATCCCTGCTACCTTGACAAGAGAAGATGGATATATGCCAGTGGAGATGGGCCAAAAAAAAAAAAAGTATTGTCATCGCTTTAATTTCTTGCGTAGAATGTGACCCAAAATTTTTGGGCACATGTAAAGTATCGGATATGGCACAGGTGGTATTTTGGTTTTAGGATGATGTCAAAGATCTTGAAGGTGAAAAATCTTGAGGATTCTCAATTATTCTCAATTATGTTGCTTGGTGAATAATCTTGGCAAATATATCCCAAACTAGGGCAATGCATGTCATATGTCCTAATGGTTACTGGTGCAAGGAACACATCTGCAACCCTCTTGTTTTGGTTTTGGGAAATCATATTGATTTCTTTTGAGGAAATTTATTCTTGTAGGGGAAACAAATTCTTCCAAATGTTGTTTAACTTTAATTTGTTACTGCAACCTAATAAGGCTCCCCTTTGTTCTTATAAGGAGGGGCAAAAAAAACTTCCTGTTTGTTATGGCAACAGTTACTTGAGTTTTCTTATGAATTGGCGTGCCATGGGACATAAATGGAAAGAAACTGTAAGCATTTTTGCTTCATATTGTTGTCACTTGCATCTATGCGTTGCAACTTTATGCTACAGCTTATCTTTGCTTTGTTGTTGCTCTCACAAAACTTGCCAAGTTGGATGTGTGTTTATTGACATTTATCATATTTCTCAGTCCGATGTAGGAAAGCATAATGTTCTTCTCCTATTCTATTGTTTTCTCATTCCAGCATGATTTTAACTATGTGTTTCATTATCAGGTCCCTGTTATTCCAAGCCATGTGCATTCTATCAATGATACTGTATCAGCAGAAAAAGCTGCTGAGGACTACGAGTTTGTCATCAGGCAGCTTGTGAGGACTCGTGTAATCAATGTTTCTGATATCTGTGACTGCCCAAAGTTTGATCTGATCCTTTTGGGGATGGGTCCTGATGGGCATGTCGCGTCGCTCTTTCCCGGTCACTCAGTGCTTGATGAAAAAGAACAGTGGGTGACTTTCATCACCGACTCACCCAAGCCCCCACCTGAGAGGATCACCTTTACTTTGCCTGTGATCAACTCTGCCTCCAATGTGGCTGTGGTTGTCACTGGTGGCAGTAAAGCAGATGCTGTGCACTTAGTAGTTGATGATGTTGAGCCTGACCATCCGTCATTGCCTGCAAAGCTGGTCCAGCCAACCAAGGGGAATTTGGTGTGGTTTCTGGACAAGGCAGCGGCATCAAAACTCGACGGCACAAAATTTTCCGAGTAGGGCCTGGCACGTCTTGTCTAAATGTATGTCTGTATGTAGTGAAGGATATGGAACGTTGTTGATTCACATTTCCTCTAGGGATCTGTCTTTTTCTGTTTCTTGTTTTAGACAGTTAAGAAGGAGCTCTTAGTCTTGGATTAGTCTCTTCCTCATTTTCTGGCCTGCATACTTCTTGGAAGGGGTTTGTAAGTGTGATTATCCATTTTGTTAGAGAAAGCAATAAAATGTTGGCTCTTGACACAAAATGTTACCTTGTTTGGTAAGTAGGTAACATTAGGAGTACTTGAAGGTTGGAAAATTCGGCTAGAAGCTACCTGGGCTGGTTTCATGAATACTTGTATTAGCTTATCCAAACATAGAAGCAATTCTTTTCCATTAAACACAAACCCTCTCCTCTTTTCAGTTCAATAATGCTGTGGACACCGCCTGAAGGTGGATACAACTCGTTTTGTTGTAGCTTTAGCCAACGCAGTCTAATGGCTAAATATGAAAAGAGGCAAAGGAAACAATTACTGAAAGCATATGCACTGCCCTATCTTAGTTTTTTTTTTAATTGACTTCATATGTTCATGTCCAAGAAATTGAAACATCTAAAAATTCTGTTGGCAATTGGGTTTTGGTTGTGCTAGTTTAAAGATATTTAAATCTAGATTAAACACGCAAGCTATTAATTTGTGTGTAATTAGTTGATTTGTTCAAGTAATCGCTGACCAATCCCCTGTCTAGTTTGGTTGTTGAAGTAATTGTTCACAAATCCCTCTTAACTGCTGTACCATGAAAAACGTTGCAGTATTAGCCTTGACTTTTCTTATAATGCAATGGCTAAACAACATTGGCTCTATTCAAAAGAGTACACATGAAGAGAAAAAGGTGAACTTGTTAACAGAAAACCACACCATCTAACTATTATTCACCCCATCCTCGAATTGACTTCAGATATATTTATATGAACAAAAGACTTCAGATATAAGTTCAGATATATATGACTTCAGATATATATATATATATACACATAAACAAAAGACTACCAGATAGTCCAAGATCTGATGTACATTATTAGCCCATGAAATGTGACAGAGAAAGATACAACTTGTTTGCCAACCAAATATTCGTTCATTCTCTCTGAAAGTCAAAAGGAAGAAACAGAAGTTACATTTGAGGCAGGGCACTGCATTAACTAGAGAATCTTGACTAAGTAAAGCTTGATGTTTTGATGCTGTGAGTGTACAGCACTCAAACGCTAGCACAAACTTACGTGCGCAACTGTAGCAGTGACTAAAAGGGATGATTTGAAACAAAAGACAATGTTTACTTTAAAAGAATGGCAAAATTTAGCTTGTCAGAATCATATGAAATAAACGATCCTAATGACTGGAGTATCAATGGCATCAGCTCGCACGCACCAATGTTCGAAATTCTTTTTCTGTTATGGACCTTATCCCATTCGAATCAGGAATAACATCATCTTCCATACCTTCTTTAGCAGGGTAACCAAGTTTCCGTGCCTGTAGCCACTGGTCTATTACTCCACAGCTGATAGCATACTTGATAGTGTGTTCTAAATAACCTTTATCAGTTAAAAGATGTGGCTGGACTGTCAACATCCTCAAAATGCCTAAGCCATCATGCAGGAAGCAATTAGCTATGAGCTTTCAGTTTCTATGAAAAAATAATAAGCGAATTTTCATGTACCATTGAAAAATAAGTAGCATTCCAAGACTTTAGAGAGAATACCACCATGTGTAGTAGACAAACAAGAGGGAGACAGAAATATCAAACAAAGTTTACAGAGACTTGAAGATTGTTTAAAAAAATCATTTTCATGTTAAATTGAATGGTGAACATAAGAACTACATTATTTGCCTTACTTCTGCTTTAATTATGCTCATCATCTCCCTATGAGTGTAATAATTTTAATCTAGATGATTATCAACATCTAACGGGATCAAATGTTGGTGGCTATAAGTTGCATCGATAAATTCCTAAAGCTGCCACATGCTAGATCCCATTGTTTTTGTGATTGTATGCATGATCAATTATGTAACAAACCATTTCTTACAGCTGCAATGACATTGTGGTACATGACATTATAAAAGGGCATATGGAAGACAGCTGCAATGACTTACCTGCAACAATTCCATCTCCAGATGCAGACATATCAGATGTATAAGGAGTAAGTGGTCCGTCCTCCATTCCAAGAACTGAACCATTGTGCTCCTTAGTGTAGTAATGAATCTTTGAAGTCCCATTTGTCACAAACAAAACCTTAAGATTTTCATGCCAAAGAGGAGCGACAACTTCTGGTGCATAATGAGTAAACTTAGATCTGTCATTATTTTTGGTGTCAAATTCCTCAGAAGCCTTGATGCCACAAAGAAATTCAAGTTCTTCCTTGGTGACCTCAATAACATCTGCAAGAGCCCATGCTTTCTGTATGAATGTCTTGGTTTCTTCACCAGATTGCCATAGTGGTAATGGTAAATTCAGATCATAAAACACAATTCCTCCCAACTTTTTTGAGATTTTGATGGCTTGCAATGCAGTTGATCGCATTTTCCAGTCAAGCAAAGAGAAAGTGTTGAAGTAAAACATTTTAGCCTGTAAGCAAGTAAATAACACTATCATAAATGAGATTTAGTAAAATAACAAATTGTACTAAAATTGCTGACGAACAAAAAGATAAAAACAACTATGCAAGATATGAATGAGAACTCCAGCAGAGTATGTGAATTATAATTAAATTATGAGCAGCTGAAGAGTGACAATTTTACAAACCATCACATGTTTCATGTCAACCCTTTTCATCTCAGACAGAAGGAAAATATAGAGCTCATAATTCTTAAATCATCATTTCAACCTGCCAAATAACTTGCCAAAGTCCTTTCTGATGTTGCCTAGTAAGAGATGTTCTACTCTCAGAACTACGTTCCTGAAACAAGTATCAAAGATGTCCACAAAATGACAAAAAGAATAAGAGGCATTTCAATTTTATTTTGCCAGACTCCACGGAATCTGATACCTAGTTCAGAAAATTCTTTTATGATATTTTAAAAATAATCAAGAAACACTCATAACATATATTTACATTTAGCTTTCAGCATCCTCAGAGTTCAGCTACATTTGTTCTCTCCTTAGGCAGAAGTAAAGAAGACTTGAAACCAGGTGATTATTTGTTAACAACTAAGAATTTTACTTAAAAGTCAACAAAACTCTGTATCTTTTTCCATCTCCAAAAGCAAGACGAAGTAGGTAACCTTGAACAAGAATAAATCAAAACTAGAATCTCTTACCTCTTTCAAGACGTCAATATTAATCTCAGACGTCAACAAGGCATCCTCTGCACATGATTTGACACAAGTCATCCTCAAGCCACCCCTCTTACCTATTTTCATCTGTGATACAGCTGTAACTCTTTTGCTATCAATCCGAACTGATCTAGTCTGCACCTTGTTTAAGTTCAAAAAATATAGCAAAGACTGACCATAGGCATCATCTCCAAGTTTCCCCATGAAAGCTACTTTACCTCCCAAGCATGCCAGTGCTACAGCAACATTACTTGCACATCCACCAGGGGACCTAACAAATTTCTCAGGCGCCCAAATCGCATCCTTCTTTATTTCATGCATTTCATGATCTATAAGCCTGTTAGAACGCCTTCCCACAGGAACAAATGCATGTTGTGCTGCACCAAAGCAACAAACTAGAGGTGGCCAGCCATAAGTGAAGCTGATATCCTCTCCCTCATCCAAATCAAGCTCCATTTCCTGCTCACTATCTGTATCTGCGATAAATGCATCTCCTTCCTGATCACTAAATTCCATAGCACTATCTTGATCCACAGCATTATCAATCTGCTTCTTAGTTCTTCTCCGTCTTGTCACCTTCTTATTTGCTGCTTCTGCCTCCAGGTTATTAGTAGCCAATGTATCTGCAAATCAAAAAAGTCACAAATTTGCATATTAGCACTTAAAAAATTGAAACCAAAAGGTTGCTATTAACATAATAAGATGGATTCATTTTCAAGTGGTAGAAATTTGCACCTTTCTTCCTAGTTCGTCTGCGGGTTTTTTTGGTAGTCTCACTGGAACCTGAAGTAGTCATATTTTCCTCATCCGCAGGATTTCCGTCCACGACAGATACAGAACCATTTTCTGTATTTTCTGTTGCCCCCTTCTTTCTAGTCGTAGCAGTTGCTCGTTTAGATTTTGGTCGTGTCTCTTTCTCTACAACATCCCCCTCCTCTGATGCCTCCTGGGCTAATGCCTGTGTAACCTTTCTCTTGGAGACAGCAGCAAGATGCCATCTACTTTCTAATCCAGTATAGTGAAGTTCCGAAAACTTCATATTACTATTTGGGAAAAATGTCCAGCTTGACTGCCACCTGCATGTTTTAGCAGAAAAATCGACATCTTGGTTTTTTCTAAACGCTCCATTTGTAAAGTTATTTCATCTTACAGGCAGCAGAATTGTGAGGCTATATTTGTAAAGTAAATTTCAATAATTCACCTCCAGAAGAGAATGCTCCATTTCACTCATCCATATCCGTTCACCAAAAGAGATTAAGGAAAAACAATACACAGCAAATATACATTCACAAACAGTGTAAAACATGTAAGAAAATTGAGATTGTAGATTCTCGTCAATGTTCAATTCTGCATATTTTCCCTAGTACCATGTGGCACCAAACAGAAGATTAAAGACAAGAATCTCCAGAAGACACAGTACCTGGGCAGTGAAGAGAACTGCGAGAAAGATAGATGAGCCATAACAAGAAAGGGCTTCACTATACTTTCTTTGTGTAAAACCACTAGCCCAGTCCTGCTGTGGTTTAAGGGTCACGCTCTAACTAGGATAAAACAAGACGAGGTATTTTGGCCTTTTGGAATTTTAGTCTAGTTTTGTTCTCTTAAACCCATATTTTAAAGGATATCGGCATTTCTTATAATATAGCATGCCATGCTAATGACCAAAAAGTCCCTCAAGATTTTGGCAAACAAGCACTAGGATTTAGTTCTGAGCAATTTCCTGTCCACAGCAAACAGGCCACCACTCCTCTTCCCTCTATTCCTTCCTTCTCCTCCATTATGCTGTTTGATACTTTGCTGAGATTTGGCACGCACAAGTTTGTTGTTGTTTGGTAGGCCATGGCTTATTGTTTCATCGTATTGAAATAATTTTCACGGGTTTGAATCTGGTTAATTCTGGAAAATCCCAACAGTTTTCAGGTGGGTTTTCATTCAAGTAT